AAATGGGGCAATGTCATTCTTTCTGATGGAGGCATAGAATTCCATTGTGTATATATACCACATTTTCTTGATCCATTCATCTACTGAGGGGCATCAGATGCCATTTTCTGTATTGCTTATTTTGTTTTGCTGTGCATATAGTGTGTATAGTGGACAAATAAAGTCCAAGCATCTAGTCTCTAGATGTTAAAGAAGTTGTCAACGTATGACAAAGCAGGTAGTTAAATTAGCATATTTGTGTACTTTGTGTTGAAATGTCATAGGAAGCTTGTTCCCTGGAAATGACATTTAGTTATGAATTTGTTTAACTATTTTGAAGCATTTCATGTACCTGTACTTGTCCACTGGTTTAAAAAATCATTTTATTTATGTGGTACAGAGGACTTGAACCCAGGGCCTCAGGCATGCTAGGCAAGCATTCTACCACTAAGACATATTCCTAGCCCCTGCCCACTGATTTAAACACAGAAAAAAGTAATCGAGGAAGGGATGGCTCAGTGCTAAAATGGCCATATTTAGAAGATACTTCAGATTGTAACCACTGCTGTATGTGCAATTTTATCAGTGCTATAAGCAGAGCAGGCAACTTCATGTATGAAATAGTCAGTCCTAGGTATTTGAAGTGCTTGTTGAGAAAAGAGGTGGAAAAGAAACTGCTGCAAAAGGTATTTTGTTAGTGTGTGGGAGAAAATCTCAGCTTATTCTCTACCCTATATATAGTGTACATTTCCTTTAACTTTGCTGTACTGTATACATATGTATTGACTGGACAAACGAGTCCTTATTTTATAATACCTTGTTTCTAGATATTATAGAGGTTGTCAATGTATAACTGAAGTAAAGTTAATAAACTAACACATTTTGTATACTTTGCATTAATATTCCTAGAAAGGCTATCTTCTGAAAAGGCCTTTAAAAGAAAAATTAAAACATATGTAAGTAATTCTGTACATGTATCAAGTGTGGTACACGAGAGAAGTTGGAAGAAATGAAAGGTTCTGAGTTAGAATGCTTCCACCATTGTTACATGTGTAGTTTACCCAACCTGACTGTTTGTGTATATAGTGGTCATTTAAGTCCTTATTTGATATATCTGATCTCTCTAGATGTTTAGAAGTGCACAAAGTATGTTAAAAATAGAAATAGTAAGTGATTCATTTTGTAGATACTGTTCTGTTAAAATCCATAGTGATCTGGGTGCCTGTGGTTCATACCTGTAATCCTGTCTATTCAGGAGGCTGAGATCTGAGAATCATGGTTCAAAGCCATCTGGAGCAGGAACGTCAGTGAGAATCTTATCTCCAATTAACCACCAGAAAACTGGACGTGGCACGGTGGCTCAAGAGGTAGAGCAATACCTTGAGCTGAAAAGCTTAGGGACAGCACTCAGGCCCAGAGTTCAAGCCCCATGACTGACAAAAAAATCCATAGTTGAATTTTGTCTTTTGGAAATGGAATGATGAAACCACTTCTGAGCAGTATACAAGGTGTTATACTGACCCAGGAAGGGAGGGAGGAGAAGTGCCCAAGACTTTCTACCAGTGAGTTTATGATGAAGTGAGATTAACCATTGTTGGTTTCATCTATGCATTTTTAATTTTGTTCTGTATATAGTGTATATAAAGGGCAGATGAGTTCTAATTTTCAATACTTAATCTTAGTAGATGTAAAAGTTTTCTTGCTAGTGACTAGAGTACATTGAGTGTATTTTGTTAAAAATTATTTGAAAGAATAGATATTGAAGAAGTGAATTGATTAAGAATTCCCTTGAAATATTACAGATACATAAATAACCCTGACCATAAACATTACCTTTGCTTATCAACTAGGCTTTGGTAGATTTTATTATGCTGTACTCAAGCAAGCACCTCCTCCCCCCACACATGTATAACAGCCTTCAATCCTTTCCTTTTCAATCCTGAGTATCCTTCCTTTCTCTCTGTCCTCCCACAGATCCTCTACAAGGTACTCATTTTTATTATTTATTCTAGGGTGTGAATTATTTATTTCTGAAATTTCCATTTAATATTTTACTCTTTTGTTTGCCAGTCCCGGGCTTGAACTCTGGGCCTGGGCACTGCCCCTGAGCTCTTCAGCTCAAGGCGAGCACTCTACCACTTGAGCCACAGTGCCACTTCTGGCTTTTTCTGTTTATGTGGTGCTGAGG